CGAGTGGAGCCACGCCTCCAACTGGCTCCTTGACCACAGGCATTTCTGTTGGGATTTATTTATCTTCTATAATTGAAACTTTGTAGCTTTGAGTGGAGGCCTGGGCCTGCCAGGGTGTGTAGAAAGCTTGGTTTCCTCCATTGCTGGGGAATCCCAAGCCTCCTGCTTTCTCCATCGCCACAGCCATCTTGGTTTTGTTAATTTGCTTACTTGTTCCTGATTGACTGGTGGGTATGGATTGTGGGTATAGCAAAGGAATGGTCAATTTGCATATTTCTCTTTTATTACTTAGTACATGCATTGCCTATGAACAGAGACAATAGGGTGGTAAAGACTTGGGGTGGCTTGGGAACTGAGTAGAGGAACTTAATGGAGGGGTGTAAATCTGTAATATTCTCAACAATAAAGATTTTAAAAATTAAAGTGAAACAACTAAGGGAGGATTGGCATCTTTATGATACATAGTTCTCTAACTAATTATAAGGGATATCTTTACCTTTGTTCAGGTATACCTTTGAGTCTTTTAGAAGTGTTTTAAAGTTTTTGTCATGCTTCTTACTAAATTTATTCTTCAGTATTTTATCATTTTTTTTTTTTGTGGCTAAGGGAAGTATATTTTCTTTAACATGAAATCCCCTAAATAGTTATTATTTTTTACATATGAATGCTGTTCATTTCTATTAAGTTTATATCTTTCTATTTTACTGATTGTGTTTACTGTTTGACTTTAGTAGGAACAATGAGATAGTTTTTCTTCTTTTCCTATTTTTATACATTTAATTTCTCTTGCCTAATTGCATTGGCTTATGCCTTTAGTGCAATGTTAAATGGTATGGAGATAGTAGACATCCATCCTTGTCTTGTTTTTGACCATAGAGGAATTATAATAGTCTAATTTGATCTTTTTTTTTTTTTTTCCCCTCAATTAACGTGTTGACTTTAGGACTAAGGTCTAAATTTATTATGTCAAGAAAGTATCCATCAATTCCTATTTTCTTGAGTGTTCATTTTTACTAAAAGCATCTTCAGTCTTGGAGATAAAACATTATTTTCTCTTTAAGTCTATTAGTATGAGATACTGTACTAATGAATTGCCTAATAATGACCTATCCTTGTATTCCTGGAACAAATCTGACTTGTTCAATGCATAACATGTTCTCAGTATTGTGTAGCTCTCTCTTTACTAACAGTTTATTTAGAACTTTTGCCTCGTTATTTTTTGTGTGTTTTGTTCTAATAATCTCTAAATATTTTGTTTTTGTACTGTCTTTATCAGGCTTAGCTATTAATGATATATTACTGTTATGTAAGCTAAGGAAGTTTTTCCTTATTTTTAATGCTTTTAGACCAATTTCAGAGTATTAATTTTTTTAGCTCTAATTAGACCAACTTTTATAAACTATACTTCTATGGTCATGTATTGCACATTTTAAAAAATAGAATTTAAAATTTATTTACTGAGAATTCTATAGACAAGTTTTATGATTTAAAGACTTCTGTTGTAATTATGTTCCATTTGTCACTTAATTTGTATATTTGTACTTTTGTTCTTTTATTGTTAATCAGTTCTCTACTATTTTGTTTGTATTTTTTAGGCATTGAGAATTTTTTTTATTAATTAGATCTATTTTTTAAGTTTACTTAGATTTATATTATCTTTATTATTTGTATTGTGCTTTCTTTTTGTTTTTCTATTTAGTTTATGAGTTGGGAATTTAATTCATTTTTTAAAATTGATGTGTTCAGAATTATAATTTTTTCTTAAACATAGCTACAAATGTGTCCCATAGATTGATATGTAATGTTTTAATGCCATTGTTTCATTTGTCAAACTTGAATATTTGGGCATGGGAATTAAACTTTTATTATGGTTGTGTGAGTAATGGAGTAGGTGAAAAGAGGACTAAAAAGGCTTTTTTTGAATGTTGTCAAATGGTTAAAAAAAAAAATGACAGTTTCCTTTTATTGAATGTTTACCATGTACCAATCTGGTATAGCCAAAAAGCTTAATTATATTATCTAATTTAAGCTGTATAATGTCATTTTGAGGTACATATTTCCCCATTTTCAGAATACTGAATCAGTGGTTTATATCGGTTTGTATTTGCCTAAGACTACATAACAAGTAAGTTGTTAGTGTTGAAATTAAATTCCATTTCTGACTCAATAGCTGTGGCTTTTACTTAAGCAGTAATATTGTGAGGTCACAGAGGTATTTAACAGTATGGCATAATCAGTAACTGTTAGTAGCACAGTGGGACTAAAGTCAAGTCAGTCCTTAGTAGTATCATTTCTGGCTTGGACAAATAGTTCTTCGAGATACTATTAGTAAAATGGAAAGCATGAAACAAAGCAGATTTATGTAAGATGATGGGTAAGTTTGATGTACCTACTAGGTAGCTTAATGGAACAGTCTTGTAGAAAGGTGAATATATGGATCTGGACCTCTGCAGAGTGGAGCTTATAGGTGGAAATTTAAATAATGGGTTTTGAAAGTGGTAAGAATAATGTGAATATTGAGATCAGAACATGAAGAAAATAGTGAATATTAAGGTGGAGAGGAAACAAGAAAAATTAGTCAAAATGTTAGGAGGAAGTCTAGGATAAAGTGGTTCACATGTGCCAGGGGAAATTTCCAGGTAAAGGAGGGTCATTAGTATTAGTGCTCTGGAGAACTAAAGAAAGATGAGTGTTCTTTTGATTTAATAGTAACTGAAAGGAAAATTAATATCTTACTTGTTGAGTTCTGTGGAGTGATGAGGGTTAGGTGAGAAGACAATTGAGACAGGAATCATTTGGAGATAAAATATTTGGGTATGAAGGTAAAATGTGATAGGTGGCAGTAGCTAGTTGAAGGTGTGAGGTTGAGTTGAGGATGCCTCTCTTGCCCTCTCCCTACTTTCCTCTCTCACTCTCTTCCTTCCCCTTCCCTGTATTTATCTCTTTTCTTTACTTCCTCTCTCTCTCCTTCCTTTTCTTTATTCTACTACTTTCCCTACTTGTTTTCCTCATATGATGTTATGGATTGATAATTTAACTTTGTCAGCATGAAATCTTATCTTGGGTATAAATATAAATATAAAAACATAGAGATTTAAAAATATTCAGGTATTTGATCAGAGTGATATTTTTAAGAACTTCTTGTATCCAGGATGATAGTCACTTTTATGGCCAGAATTAAACATACTTGTCTAACAAATTTTAATCTTTGAAATAATAATGAAGATAATATAAGCACAATAATAAAACCTATACAAATTTAGTCAATTTATACCTCACTAGAGGCCTGATGCACAAAATTCGTGCAAGGGGCTTGGCCCTCATTGCCCTGGGCTGCCTTGCAGCCCCGCAGCCTCACCCACTGGCTGTTCAGGAAGGTTGTTCAGCAGTCCACTCTAATTAGCATTTCAACTTTTTATTATATAGGATTGGCAAATCTATGCTAATTTTACAGATAAGGAAATTGACTGAAGTTAAATATACTTGCTATTGTTCTATACCTGGCATGGCAATTAGGTTCCAGAGTTTATAGTCTTAATACCAGGGTTGTATTCACTCTTACTATGCCATAATACTTAATTCATACTTTTAAAATTAGTTATATTTTTGTTATAAATTTTTTTTTAAATTTAAAATTAGAAGTTAGAATATTTTGACATTGTAGAGAAATCTTAATGAATGGAATAAATAAGATTAGAAAAAAAGTCATGTCTGAATAGATGTATCAAGTAAAATATGAATTGAAATTCTAGTTTTCTGTATTTTAGTTAAAATAGTGAAATGCCTATGTGAGAAGCTAGAATTCCTCTCACATACTATTTTATAAACACAATATTGCTATAAAGTAAAAGTATACATAAGATAACTAAATGATCCCTGTATGATACCAATCAGAAATTGATAAATTCTTAAGTTTGTTAATACCTATTGACATTGTAAATATTTTTCTTCAGGCAAAAATGCAATTTCCATTGTGAGCTGTCTTCCAGAATTTATGGTAGAACTTCCCTGAGGTTGCCACTCATGCCAATGTGGAATAAAGGTCTTTATACTTTAGAAAGTCAGAACATATAAATAGATTACTGCTAAAAGTAATTTACTCTTCTTAAACTTTGAAATTCATAGTATAAATGTGTTTGAATTTTTAGATAGAATTCTAAACACTGCTACAAATGTGTCCCATAGATTGATATATGTTTTAATATCATTATTTCCTTTGTCAAAATTGTAACATTACTTTGAAAATAAACTAATATATATATTAACATGTTTATTTTGCCTTCATCAATATTTTTGTTTTATTTCATGCTTGGCAATTGGCTTTTCTTTTGTGACCTTTGTATTTGAAATCTAATCACAATCTAATAATGTTTTGTTGGGAAACTAATTACAGAATTGTATTTCAACATTTTTTCTTTAAAAACAAGTTGGCAAACTGGTTGACTTTATGAAAAATCTATTGTTGTTGAAAAAGAAATTACACTGAGACAGTTGTATTAATTATTTTAAAGTAATTATTCTTCCCCTTTGCTGACTTCATTGTAATAATTGATTTGACTTGGATACTGGGTCATTAGGCCATTGAGTTCATGGATGCCTGACTTGTCTTGCTCACTGCTGTCTTCTCAGTGCCAAGTTAGTGCCTCTGCCTGGCACTAGTATGTATTCTAGTGCTTTTTATGAACTAACTTGATAGTTAGGTAATATGTTTAAATACTATCTCTGAGTTAGAAATGCACTTCTAATGGTAATATGTTATATGTAAATTCTAAGACATTATTAAATTATCTTGTTTACCTGAGTTTCATATGGAAATATCATGTTAAATTTAGAAATACTAGTTTTAGATTTCTATAACTATTCCTAAATGGTTCTCATTTTCAGTCATTTTGCTTTTACTTCCCTTTCCTTTTTCCCTTTCCCTCTCTTCACTCTCTTTTCTTCTCTTCAACCTGTTTATTATTTTTTCTTTAATCATCTTTTTGTTTGTTTTCCTTCAGTGTCTGGAGTCCATCTTTCTCCAGCTTCTCCTGCAACCGTACTGGACCATGACCACTCTTCTCCCACCATTGGCTGCCTCTCTTCTGAGCCCATCATTTCATCACCAGAGATTACACATGCAGACACCACCATAGTCAGTCAAACTCTTCCTAAGGCGCAGGTAAAGATAAGCCTATCTTTATAGAAAATCTGCATGTTTAAAAAATATATTATATACTGATTGAATTAATTTTTGAAGATTTTATGATTCCTTTTCTTTCTGAAAAATATTTTTGTAGACACTCTTAACTTTGAGGCTAATATCTAGAATTCTGAATAATATGTTTGTTTTAGGGAACAATTGCAAGGTAATTAAGTAATCTTAATATGGTTCGAGTGTTCATTTATTAAAATTGATTTCATTTACATTTCAAATCTTGAACTTCAAAAGGGAAAATAATTACAAAAAAAGAATAATCATTTCTGTTTTCAGGGATGCTTATTGTATGTTTCAGGTATTAGAGTGTTTTTTCCAATTTTATATTAAAATTTTAAAAGATTGAATTGAAGCCTTAGAGTTTATTCATTCAAATATATATTGATCCAGGCATTGTGCTAGATGCTGGATTTAACCCAAATTTTCCAGATGCTATACACAATCTCAAATTACCTGGTATCTTTACTAGAAAGTGATGATTAATTAGAGGTTATTAATTAACTAGAAGCCCAGTGCACAGATTTGTGCACTAGTGGGGTCCCTCAGTGTGGCCTAGAGAGATCGAGCCAAAACTGGCAGTCCAGTGCCGCCTGCCACTCTTGCCAATGGCTCCTGTTCATGCCAGCCCCACTGTGTCTGTCATGGGCTCACACCCAGGCAGTTCTGTTGAGGAGAGGCTCACGCCAATGCAGTGGCACTTGCCTGGTGCTCGCCAGCCATTAGCCCTGCATTTGGTGCCCTTCTGTCAGCTGAACTGTGCTCCTGTGGTGGGAGAGCACTGAGTGTCTGCCCCTGGTGGTCAGTACATGCCATAGCAATCTGTCCTTTGGTTATTCAGTCTTTCAGTCTGTTGGTTGCTTAGGCTTTTATATATATAAATTTAAAATTCCGATTTACAATTTAAAATATAAGCAAATTCTGGTGTGTATAAATTTAAGAATTGATATTAGATATGCCTTTTCTTAATTGTATCCTTTCAGACATGAAAAAGTTTTAAGTTTTTAGTGCTTTGCTTGCAAAATAATAAGTGCTTTAAACTCTTAAGTTTAGAGGAAATTTTGTGTCTTCCTGTAAAGATCAGGTTGTTGTAATAGTTTGAGGTCTTCTGTTGATTTACTTAAAGGGTGAAATAATTCCGGAACCCTTGTTACAACTTAATTTCCAAATGTGGTTTCTGGTGCCCTTTGGATGTTTTCATTATTGGTACAGTGTAAACTTTTCCCTCTTGTATATTTTTTTTTAATGTGGTTTAGATTCAGCAATCAACACACACTGATCTGGATATCTCACTTTTTCCATTGGGTTTAACTGATGAGAAAAGTAATGGAACAATTGCTCTTGTGGATGATTCTGAGGATCCTTTAGCCAATGTATCAAACATACAGCTTCAGCAGAAAATTTCAAGTTTGGAAACTAAACTCAAAGTTTCTGAGGAAGAAAAACAGAGAATTAAAAAGGTATATTTACATTTCCCTAAAAATGTTTAAATTGTACATTCTGGATATTTTATAAAATCCGTATGTTTGATTAAAAACTCATCAGGGGAAGAAGACATTGTCCTTTCTTGGTTGTAAGTTTAAACCAGTCATTTGAGTTTATCACTTAGAAGTCTTTGATAAGAAATCTCTGGTCTTAAATGTGTACTTTTAAGGAGATGAACATATTTTATTAGATTTTTGTTTTCTCTAAATAATGCTTTTTTCCTGGTTTATTTTTATTTATCTTGAAAGCAGGTAGTATTATATTTCTTACATAGTTAAGCAGGTTTGTAATATTGTCTTATTCCTGTATAACATTAGACATCATGGGATATTTGATAAGAGTATTTACATATACAGCTATTTTAGTAAATTATTTATGTTCTCATTTCTTTTTCTTTTTTTTTTAAATACACACTACTTTTCTTTTTTTAAAAAAAATACATTTTATTGATTTTTCACAGAGAGGAAGGGAAAGGGATAGAGAGCTAAAAACATCAATGAGAGAGAAACATTGACCAGCTACTTCCCGCACCCCCCCACTGGGAATATGCCCATAACCAATGTACATGCCTTTGCAAGAATCGAACCTGGGACCTTTCAGTCCACAGACTGATGCTCTATCCACTGATCCAAACCAGTTTCGGCTATGTTCTCATTTCTATTTCCTTAAAATATCTGTAAAAGGGCCTTAGCAAATTTATGAAAGTATATGTAGATATAAACTGTGTTGATTATAATCAACATAGGTGCTTTTATTCATTTATTAGCATGAATAATTTTAGTGTTATAACAATGTTTGATATTGGTCTAGAAATGAGAGTGGCACATACAATCTATAATATTGTTAAAATTTAAATCATACTTCCTGTGGGCTTTTCCCTTACCACACATTTTCTGTTATATTCATTGAAATAATGAAATATATTTCATGCCATTACATAATTTGTGCTTGGATTTTTCTCCTTTAGGATGTGGAATCATTGATAGAAAAGCACAGTGTCTTGGAAAAAGATTTCCTTAAAGAAAGAGAGCAAGAGGCCATTTCTTTTCAAGATAGATACAAAGAACTTCAGGTAAACCACCTGTGCTTATGATTTAATGTGTAAGCATTTGATGAAGCATGTAATGTAATTTCAAATAGTGCTAAATAAACACTTTATTAATGAACAATCAGTATGTAAAATATTGACCAACAGGGATGAAATTAATGATAAATATAATTTTGAAAAGTATGAGTCTGTGAGGGTTAGTTGTTTTGAGACTCAATTTGGTGAAAAATACTCTGTTTCTGATGTGTAAAATTTGGAATTTGGACATTCTGACTTTTATTATTTGAAATTATATTTTAAAAGAGCTTAGAATCCTATAATCCCCGAACTGAGTTATTTAATCTTTTTATATATATTGTAATCAATGTTTCCTCTTTGCCTCCTTTATGAACTTTTTTTTTAACCAGTTCTTTCCCATCTCAGTAAATGGCCATGCTACCTTTCCATTCCTTAAAGCTGAAAACCACATTTATCATTTTTTATTTTTATTTTATTTTATTTTATTTTTTACTTATTCATGTTTGTTCCTTCAGGGAAACCTGTTGGCTCTACCTTCAAAATATCCAGGTTTCCATTATTTATCATTATGGTCACTGCTACCAACCTATTCTAGGCCTTCTTTATTTCTAGCCAGTCTTTATGTTCTGTCATTGCCTAACTATGGGCCATTCTCCACCTTGCAGCCACTGTGATCTGTTCAATACTTACAGTTGATTTTGTTATTTTTCTCTTCTGAAATCTTTAGTGTTTTCTTATTTCACTCAAAGTAAGTCAAGTGAGTCCTTAAAATGGTTTGCAAGGCCCTATATTCTCTTCTATCCTTTCTCCCTACTTTTCCGCTGCCTCTTTCTCCTCATTTTGATTTATCTTTTATCCCTATATCTCTTAATTTTCTGCATGTTTTCTTTTTTATACCATTCAGGTCTCCATCAGACCTTTCAGGCAATGCTGACATCCCCTACCAACATGCCCATATGATGCTTTTTTCCTCGATAGCACTTTTCCATCTGACCAGATTGTTTATTTGCCTAGATAATTTTAATAGTCACCTCAGTGGTCTTCTAGCTTCTGCTCTTGCTCTTCTCCTTAACGAGTCTTTATTTCAGCAGATAGAATAGTGTTTTTAAAATAATTTCAGTCTAATCATTTCCCAGTCTTAATTCTCATTCTCCTTTCAGTGTAAATCTTTTGGCTTCTCCAACTTTTCCATTTTACCCCCAGCTATTTACTTGCAGCGGGCTTGGTAATAAGGTCCAGGTGAATGTGTGAGGCTGTCTGGGAGGGCATTCCTTGGCTGTTGAGTGGTGAGTGGAGGGAAATGGTTTATGATTTAGTCACAGTCTTCCTGCCTGGAATGCCTTCCCTCCAGATATCTACATGGCTCTGTTAAAAATTATGTGCAACATGAAAATAAGGAAAAGGATGCAGTGTGTTCTTTCAATGTCTAGGGGAACATTGTTTAATAGACTTACCCAAGGATTATTTAGGAGAATGTACTTTATTTGACTCATGGTTTATTAATATTACATGCTAATTATGTTTTTTCCCCAGAGGCAATGCCTGTTGGTTCAAAAAGATAACTTTATAGGACAATCACCAGTTTTGTCTCTAACCTAGCATTCTTTCCTGTTTAACAACCTGTTATTTAAATTGTGTAAATATATAAGTAAATATTTCTATATATTCCTTCAAATGCACTTTGAACCAGTCTCAACTTCTGATTTATTGAGTCTTAATAAGTGAGTAGAATAAATCTGGGATTTATGTTCAGTTTATATGAGTCACATTTTAAGTCTTTGAAAATTGTATTTTAATAAGTCTCAGTGAAACTTCAGATACCTGCTATTGTGGAGGCTTCCTTTGACCATGTTGTATAAAATAAGAACTGTGCACATGTTCAGCATGCCCTAGCCCCTTTTCTTTGCTTTTTTGCCTCTCTTCATAGCACTTATCTCCACCTGTTATTTTATTTTGATGTGTTTATTTTTTTGTTTTCCTCCTACCAGAGTGTAAACTCCATGAGAATAGGAGCATTCCTTTCTAGTACCTAGAGCAATACCTGGCATGTAATGTGGGTGTCATGGGGGCTCAATGTTCTTGAATGAGTGTGCACTAATATTGTGCACCCTGTTCTCATTGTATGTGGTCACATTTACCAGCCTCATACTTGGAATTAGGTGCTTATTAGAAGCCACAGTACCGAATACTGACAGAACTTAGTGTTTCTTCTGTCTATGCTGAATAACTTATTCGGGCCCTGTAGTGTGACTTATACCTTTGAAAAATTTAGTTTTTTTTTTTTTAAATATATATTTTATTGATTTTTTACAGAGAGGAAGGGAGAGAGATAGAGAGCTAGAAATGTCGATGAGAGAGAAACATCGACCAGCTGCCTCTTGCACACCCCCTACCGGGGATGTGCCCGCAACCAAGGTACATGCCCTTGACCGGAATCGAACCCGGGACCTTTCAGTCCACAGACCGATGCTCTACTACTGAGCCAAACCGGTTTTGGCCTGAAAAATTTAGTTTTTTATTCTGTTAATGGGAATAGTAACATATCTGAGAAATCATCTGGGGCCATATAGTACTTGAGTTTTTCACAGTAAAGACTATATAAATGCCAAGGGGCATTATCGTTGTCTTACTACTTTTACTATTGATAGTGATAGTTTAAGTTACAACTTGAGTATTCAATTTAAAAAGATCTTTCTTAATCCAAAGAAACCTTTTTCAGATACTTTTACTTCAGCACCAAGAAAGGCCTCTCTCTCTTTTTATACCATGTGATTAAAAGAGTAAATTAACTTATGGAGTATTTTATCACCTTGGTTAACTAAGTGATAGAAAATGTACTAGAAGGTCTCATAGCTCAATTGAACTTAAAGGCAGGCATACTGTTTAGCTGGCACAGGTAACCTTTGGTTTTTGAAAAGTACGCCTTATGCCACTTTGCTTTTATGAAAGATCTACATTAGTACCTGTTTTCCAAAGAGGATTTTCGTTTTTATTTTTAAGAAGGCAAAAAGTGGAACCAGTGTGTTTGTTTTGGTATGATGAGTGGTAAATCCTACATATTTGGGTTATTTTGTGTGACACCTTCTATCTTGTTTAAATGACACCACATAGGTTGGGGAAAGGTGGAGGCCACTTTGTGCATGTCAAGTGTAGGGGTGAAATTGCAATTTTCCCACTTAGCCGCCTTTGACATCCTGGGCAGAAGGGGTGCTCTTACTCCAGAGAGAAAGTGTAATGTTAGGCCCCCTGAAGACTTTGGCTGATACACCCTGGCCTGGAGGAGGAGACTACCTGGTAGCAGTTCCCATGTGCTTGTACTAGCACCCTGGAGCCAGGAAGCCTTGCTGTTTCTGAGTGGTTGTAAGAGTTCTGGTTCCCCACTCAGCTTCTTCTGACACTGGAAAAGGGGGAGATGGAGCCTTCTTACCCTTGGGTGGGGATGCAAGTCCTCAAAACTCCTTCAAACCCTAATGCTTTCTTTGTTACCCCTCAGGGGCAGCAGGGCAGCACTTCATGGCTGGGTGAGAGGGAGGTTTGGGTTCAGCACTCTGGCCTTTGCTCTTACAGCTGGAAGTGAGCTGATGTTTTTAACCATTGGGCCTGGCGGTCATAGAGTGCTTCTTATCCAAAAGTTTTTTGTTCTCCCCCTTTCATGGTCCTTTGGGTGGAGAGGGATGGCATTTCTTGGGTTTGTGCTCACTGGCATTTCATGGTTACTGGCCATCAAATTTTCTGAGGCTAAAAGAAAACTTATAGAACTTACCACTATGCCATTCCTTGCGTTCTGAGGTCCTTAGTATCCACCACCTTCTAGAATCTTTCCACCACCTTCTAGAATCTTCTTACTTTTGCTTTAATTATACTGTTGAGGCCTTTTGCTGTACTTCTTAATAAACATCGGGAGGAGTGCATCTACTCCTTAGTCGGAAATGGAATAGCAAGGAATATTTAAAAATTTAAATAAACATTTTTTGTGTGTGTCCACAGCAGAAAATTAATTTCAATCTCTAGAAAGAATTTTAAAGCAAGTATTTTGAGTAATTTTTTTAAAGGAACACAGTTTGAGAAATTAATTCATGGAGTTACTGTAGCTATAGAAGAGAGTAAATAAAATATAGATAAATTAAATTGGGAGATAATCTATAAATCTCAATCTCTTTTGTGTTTACGTAGTTTGTGCACACATGATATGTGTGTTAATCTTTCTGGAAATATATTTTCAATACAAATATTTAAATTGATTCAACAAAAATTTAGAAAATCTTGGGCTTTACTATTTGACCTCCTTTCTATTATCCCATTTTCTTCTGTGGATATAGCCTTCCCCCTCATCCTCCCAAATTGGTACAAGTTTTATCTAATAATTTCTTAGGAAAAGATGCGATTAAATATGTGAGTGTCAAAGGAGACCACTGTATGCTAAGTTTATATATAAGATCAAATATTAGCAAAAGTGAGCTTTTAAATAATGAACATATATTAAATTTCTTGCTTGAATTAGTGATTTGCCCATTGTCCCTCAGGTACCTGAAAGTAAATATATTTATCATTTATTTTTCTGTAGAGTATGGCAATCAATATTTTGTTATTATTGTTGATTAAGGTATTACATGTGTGTCCTTATCCTCCCATTTCCCCCTTCCCACTTCTCCACTCATGCTCTCATCCCCCCGGTGTCTGTGTTCATTAGTTAGGCTTATATGCATTCATACAAGTCCTTTGGTTGATTTCTCCCTTTCACCCCCCACCCTTCCCTACCTTCCCTCTGAGTTTTGATGGTCTGATCGATGCTTCTCTGTCTCTGGATCTGTTTTTGTCATCAGTGTTTGTTGTTCATTATAGTCCACAAGTGAGATCATGTGATATTTATCTTCCTCTGACTGGCTTATTTCGCTTAGTATAATGCTCTCCAGTTCTATCCATGTTGTTGCAAAAGGTAAGAATTTCTTATTTTGTAGCACAGTATAGTATTCCATTGTGTAGATGTACGTATTTTTATATTAAGG